AAGCCGCTCAAGGCTTGTCCGGTTTACATACTTATCCGGTTACTCTTTGTCCGGATAAACACTTAAACAAAAATATGCAAGGTTTCTTCCTAAAGAATAATAACATGAAACATGCAATTAAAACCAGTAGTAAATTTATGCAAAAAGGTTTAGAAATCACTCAACTTATCAAGCTTTTGAAACCAAATATTTGCAATCAACTTGAAATCAGCCCTTTTGCAACTTAGCACAAGCAATCCGTACAACACTTCTCTTTAAAACACTCAATCTTCTCAAATAGCAGGGAAAGGTAAATGAAGAGACTCAACCCCTTTTATACCTTCCAAATATGGATGGTCAGCTAAAACCGCCTTCCCTCATCCCTTCCATCGCATGCTTAATTATGCACACACATGCACACACACATACATACCTTTTCCATGCATGCACCCAAATATTTTATTTATATATATATATATACACACACACACATATATATATATATACATAACAAATTAATACACAAATTCTCATACCGGCATGTATCAATTATCATGCTATCACGTAAACATTTAGTCAAATAATCACACATTAATTACCTTGGGTAATAACCAAGATCCGGTCATTACACTAGATTTCAACGAGAGTTGGGAACACGTCATGCGTTTAGTACGGCCTATCATCCTCAGACCGATGGTCAATCAGAACGAACCATTCAGACTCTCGAGGATATGCTACTCGCATGTATCTTAGAATTTGGTGGTAGCTGGGATACTCACCTACCCYTGGTTGAGTTTTCTTACAACAATAGCTACCACTCGACAATTGGAATGGCTTCCTATGAGGCTTTATACGGACGTAAGTGTCGTACACCCTTGTGTTGGAGAGAGATGGGAGAGAATGTTTTAGTTGGTCCCGAACTCATTCAGATCACTCATGACAAGATTCAGATTATTCGCGAAAGAATGAAAGCTGCCCAAGATCGTCAAAAGTCTTATGCAGATCATCGCAAAAGGCCAATCGAGTTCTCGATTGGTGATATGGTAATGGTGAAAGTTTCTCCTTGGCGAGGCGTGCTTCGATTCCGAAAACAAGGTAAGTTAAGTCCACGATTTATTGGCCCGTTCAAAGTATTGGAGCGTATCGGAAAACAGGCTTATCGACTAAAGTTACCAGAGAACTTACGGGGATACACGATGTGTTTCATGCCGGATACTTACGTAAATGCTTAGGTAAACATGAAGAGACGATGCCCTTAGCCGMAGTCAAAGTAGATGAGAAATTAAGATACATTGAAGAACCAGAATCAATTCTGAACGAGAGGAAAGTGAAACTATGTAATAAAGAGGTAGACTTGGTATTGATCAAGTGGAAACACCATCGGGGACTAAATTGGACGTGGGAGCGTAAGGATGAGATGAAGGAGAAATACCCTTCTTTATTTCCACAACAGTGATTTCAGGGACGAAATCCTCAAAAGGAGGAGGTATTTGTAACATCCAATTTTTAATATGCCCAAATTATTTGCTAAGTATATTTAATTATTGTGTTAAAGAGAACTTATGATTTAGTGGGAGTTTAAGTTTGAAATTTTAGAATTATACTTCTTAAGAGTATATTAGAGTATTAGGGAAAATTTTATGTCAAATAGATACGTAAAATTGATTTTCTTGGGAGATATTTTCTGGAATATTGTTGTTGGATGTTATAGATTATCTCTTTAAGAACGTGTAGGCGAAAACCTCATAGAAAACGGAGGTTCGAGCGAAAAGTTATGAATAATTGAAGTGTTGATGGTCAAAATAGGTACTTAGCCGGGCCAACCCGGCCCGACTCGAGTTTTAGCATTATAAATTGGAGCTTTGGCCCATTTTTCTTGTTATTTAAGTTCAGAACTCACACACACACTAGAGGTACGATTTTCACACACATAGGCTTGATTCAACTCAAATCAAAGAGGAACTACAAGATCTTTGAAGGATTTGATCATCAAGTAAGGTATAATCTATTTTTTCACTTGTTTTTGGTTGACATTCTTGTTATATGAATTGCATGTTGAGTTAGAGTTAGGGTTTCATATGGGTTTGATCTTAAGTGTATAAAATGAGTGCATTTTAGTGTTTATGGCATGAAATGATCATTAGATTCAAGAGATTATCAAGATTTATGCAAGTTCATCATATGAACTTTGACTTGATTAAGTCAATGATTTGGGAGATAATATAAATGATAAAATAAAGGTTGGATTTTGGTTGTTTATGTCAAATATGTTATATTAARTTRAGATTCAGAAGTTGGAATAGTTTGGAATCGAAATGGTTTGAGAAATATGTTTGAAAATGAGAATTTCGACTTAAGAATGCATTGAAAGTGTGCAGACTTTGAAAATCTGTATAAAATCGTAGAAAAATCCAAACAAAGTGAGGCCAATTTCCTTAGTTATATAATTGAGTCTAGTTTATTTCTTATTTTATGATCAAGGCATGAATTCGAGCTTAAAATGGGCAAAACAGTTCTGCATGAAGCAGTTGTACATAAAAATCTAAGTAAAATGTTCAAATAAGATATGTGTATATTATGAGTTTCTTATGTTGATTGCTTATGAGATTTTGTACATTTACACCAGTTGGTAATTAGGACATATTTTGATACTTTGGAAGCAATCTAAGTGTGGTAGAATGGACTTGCTTTGTGAGCTCCATTCGGAGCTTTTCAGAATTATACGGTTGCCCGATGAGTTATATAGTTAATTGTTACATGTTGATTTGAACAGATATATTTTCATACGAATGTTATTGGTCTTGAATTGAGTCACACAATCTTGACTTGTCTTTGATTCCGTCTCTTGAGTCTATTCCATATTACTATCTCGGTACATCGGTTTGCTTCCCGGATTCGAACTCGTTGTCTTGTTCCTTGAATTGTACGCCATAGTATGGGTACTACTTCGTGTGGCATGCCAGAAGTTTATGGCGAAGTGAAGAACCCGGGTTGGACGGGTGAGACGTTCAGCGGTTGTGAATACTCATTGCTCGAAGAGGAGGAAGTGCAATGAGTAGGGAACCTTGGCACATACCCTATAGAGGAAGGCGGGCAGTGCAAGGTTTCCCGTAATATATGGTTTTGATTTGGACTTTGGCATGAGCCCGGGAGGTGAAGGACGGGGTGATGCACTGTCCTTGTTATGTATACCGATTCGATCTCTTGGTTCTTGATATTTATTGGTATTCTAACGTTGCTGAATATATTTGGTTGTTGATCATGTCTCCTTGTTGTATTGAGCATCAATGATATGGTATACTATGGTGATTTGAATATGGAATCCTATGATCTTAGCATCCGGTACGTAATTGTTCACTCGGTTTCTTGTAAGTCTCTGTTTGCATCTGGATGATGTCTTGAACTCTTTTATTGATAAGAGTTTATTATGTATGTTTATAAACATGTGCGATATTGATATGTAATACTTAACTATTTAACTCACTAAGCGTTGGCTTACCATTTAAGTGGCAACCTCTCTTAGGAAAGAAGACGGACAAAAAGAAGGAACCCGTTGTTTGACTTGCAGATTTATCGGGGAACTTGAAGATATCAATCTTCTTTTTGGTAAATAGTATATTATTATGGTATCTCATAGATGTAGTAAGTATAGCTTATATATAGTCTTGTTCCGGTTATAAATATGTCCCGTATAGTTTTGCTACATAATTCGGGTTGTGAGTAAAAACTCCGTTATATCCGGTTTGGAATTGTGTTTTGGGTGGTTTTATCACTAAAATAGAACGGATATTTCGAAGTTTTCTAGAAAATTAATATCCCATATTTTGTGGTTAATTAATGTTATGCCCAGATCTGTGTGTTTCCAAGGGTTGGTCCATTTTCATCACCTTTGGACCAATTCATCGCCTCTGGTACATTTTAATTGCTTCTGGACCAATTCATCGCATCTGGACCAATTCATCGCCTCTGGTCCATTTTCATCCCCTCTGGACCAATTCATCGCCTCTGGTCCATTTT